AAAAATTAATTCAAGCCTGTAGATGAGCATATTAGAAGACATTCAATTTAAAACCTTGGCTGTGCTCTACTATTTTAATTCTTGTATTCTGGAGGTGAGCCACTGACATAACATGTATTTACTTACCTACGGAAACTAGATTTAGTTTTCGAGACAGTAAGTAGACAAGACCGTTTTAAGAAAATACAGTTGTACCTTGTATTAAGAACTTACTTTGTTTTATGATTTGGGGGAAGATAGTCGTGCTTAGGTAGGGAAGATGGCTGTAGTCATGTTTGTCACCTGGTGTGCAGTCTAAGAATTGCAAACTTTTGCTAAATGCTTTTGTTTGGAAATCAAATTATTTAGAAACAGAAGTTTTCATGAATCAAGGTATTACTTGTACAAGATACCCCCTTTAACCCTATCTTCAAATATGTGGCAACTAGTCATAAAAATTAGTAAGAGAATGTGATACTAATAGTTGATTTTCTTTATTTTTGGTTTTTAAAAATAGAATCTTACTATAGAAATCCTCCTCCCTCAGCTTTCCAAGTGCTGGTATTACAGGTGTGTGCCACCATGCCCAACTAAATTTCCCCTTTCTATAAGAACTCCAGTCATATTGAATTTGAGTCTAGACTGCTCCAGCATGATCCTATCTTGACCAATTACTTCTGCAGTGGCCCACTTTCCAAAAAACATCATATTCTGAGGCAGTTCAGTATATGAGTAGGGGGTATACCATGAACCCCCTAACACTATTGCACAAATTAGGCACTTAAAATTGTTTTTGCAAACAAGGGCAATAAGACAGTATTATTATCTTGGTAATGAGATACAGTACATAATAATCTTGTGTATTTTAGGTTATGAAAAATTTGAAACATATGTTGCAATGGGCCGGACAAAATAAGGAATTGACATAATTTCATTTTCTAGTTTTTGAAATGATCAACTTACTTTATCCCTCTCCTTTATTTTACATTGTTTAAACTGCTTTTGTCATTTTACATTATCTCTTGAATCTCATGACTGTGAAAGTTAGGTTAGCTTTATGGAAAACTGTTTATTTGTAACAAATTGATATTTTAATATATGCACCAATCTTTAAGATGGAGAAAAGATGCCTTTATGCAGGTTTCATTGAATTTTCATGCATTCCATTTCATTAGCAAAAGGAATAGCCTTGATGTTATAGCCTTAGCTTTTATTGAAATGAAGACTAGTTTTTGATAAAATTCTTAGGAAGAATTGCTAATTTCTGCTTTTGTAACAAACCATTTACTAATCTCAATCCCAATCCATCCTATAAAAGTGAAATTTTACTAAACAAACTAGCTCTAATATCATATTTTATGCACAATAGCTGCAAATGTCTGAAATTTAAAGAAACCTTTTTGATGTAGAACAATTCTAGGTCAAAAGTGATATTTGTTCTGATGCATGAAAAACAAACCAAATGAGCCCTTTAATTTGAGGTTTGGATGTCATTTTTCTGACAGTTATCAATGAAACTATCATAGATCCATGGGACACAGGGCTATTAATTTTGACATCATTCTTTCACATAATTGTGTATAATATTTTAACAGAATTTATATTTACATGCATGTATCATCAGTACTCTTCACATTTCATTATTCACTTATGAATTAGTTCTAATTGTCCACGTGAGTTGATTTGCATAACCACATCATGCAGATATTGACAAATGTTTAATTGAATGTAAGTTTTTTTCCTTGATCTCTTTCCAGCTTAACTAAGAACATAAAAGAAGGCCCCAGTGCTCACTTGAAGAATGATGTAGTCAGTTACACTACCAAACCCCAGGCTCAAACATCTAATGGGATCAGTTCAATGCAGGGCACTAATCACACTGCAATCTTTTTGCTGCAGAAGTTATAGTTGCATATTAGTCATCACAGCAATATGTAAATGTTGAGCGATTATATTTTTTTGTAACTCCCCAAATGGAATTTTTTTTACCTTTGTTTACTGAGAACAACAACTGAATATTGAAATGCAATGGCTGATGCCAGCAATCCAAAGCTTCATTAGTACAGATGAAGCAAGGCTCACTTCGTTATACAAATAGAGAGATTAAATGAAAATAAACATTGAGAGGATGTGCAGAAGCTCTGAAGTTAGGTAATTATTTTAATTACTCTAGTGACTTCTACCAACCTTCATTATCAACCACAGATCAAATTTAAATTGTTTTATGCAAGAATATTATAAGCTGTATGGAAAAGTACTGTTGCTAACCAATAATTATACTTCACAAGAATTACACCTTCTAGCCAGGCACAGTGGCATACTCCTGTAATCCCAGCATCTTGGGAGGCTGAGGCAGGAGGATCATGAATTTGAGACTGGGCTATGTAGCAATTCAGCAGGATCCTATGTAAAAAAAAAAAAAAAAAAAAAAAAAAAAAGGCTTGGGAATGTAGCTAAGTATGAAGGCCCTGGTTCAATTTCCAATAGTGAGGGAGAAAAAAATTTTCTTCAAGGTCTTATTTAGAGTTGTTTTGAGTCTACCACCTGATAAACTCTATATATTTTAAGTGCATGAAAAGCATAAATATTTGCAATTTGGCAGGTTTTACCTTGGTTTTGTGTTTCAAATAGACATCCTTAATAGTTTCTACAACTTTGTATCTTTACTCAGATTTGATCATGAGACTTGGATTCACATTTTTAGGTCACTGAATGTAAAACAATATGGCATAGCCAGCCATTTAAAATAAATGTCATTTGGAATTATATCACCTTGTATTTGGAATAAATCAATTTATTCCATCTCCCTATCCAATAATGTTGAACATTTTAAGAGACTGAGTGCCCAAACTGCAATCCGAAGCCCACTTATTAATCACAAGTGCCAACACTACAATTAAAGCTGAAGTTTTAATTTAGAAAAAACTACTCCTATTCTTGGTTAGTGTGTGGACAGAGAGGGCTCTCAGAGGGCTCATACCAAGCCGGGGAGATACATTAATAGAGCCGACCTTCCCTGCAAGTGGGGACACTGTTTAAAGGCCTTGCTGTCTTGTTTAGATTCCATTTTCTATTCATGTGATAATTATGATGGAGATCTCCTGGGTTAGGATTTTTTTTGAGGCAGTGTTACCTATGTTTACTGACTGCTTCTATGTAATGCCAGCTCTTTTGCAAAATATTTTACCTAACTTATTCCATTTTCTCTCCACAAGATTCCCTCCGTTTTCTAGAAGAAAAAACAGAATTTGAGAGACTTACTGATTTTCTAAAGTTGCGCAAGTACAAGGTTGTCTGGTTACTAATCCTAAGCAGGCCTCAGCCTGACTCCGAGAACTATGATGCCCTCAGTAGATGCCTGGATGAAGTAAATCTGTATATAAATATTGAGTAGGGTGGGGGGTGGTGTGACAGTCCTTGTTGCACTAGCTAAGTGTTCGCTTGACATTGGTAAATTTTATAAACTAGTTAGAATCTCAAATTCCATACCTGATTGTTTTTCAAAGTGTTTTGGCTCTGAATAGCAGTGGCTGCTGGAGAAAACACAGGAAGTAGGCCTCAGTATAGAGTAGGGTTAATCAAGACTTCCCTACTAAGGATTGGTCATGCTTTACAGTAGGACGCAATGCAGCTAACACAGGCATTCCTTATCAGCTATATTTAAAAGCTGAACAAGACAGAGGCCTCAGTAACAGGGTGCGAGGGTGTTTGGGGCATGGCATTTCCTAGAATGTGAGGAAGGCCTCCCCAACTACCTTGCTGCCTGGCATACAGGCCAAGACTAAACCTGGGCAGATTCAATGAGGCTGTTACATTTAGGAGCATGTTAGGTTATTTCGGAATGGGTTGGGCTCCAGAGGAGTCTTTGTGTCTGACCTTTGGGATACACAGATCTGTAGAGCTGGGATAGGGAGACTGGAGGGGCATTGATGCCAGAGCCGTGCTCTATGTGTGCTGGTGGAGAGATATATCTGTGAACAGACTGTCTGAGAAGTCTGAGGTAACCCAGAGAAGATAGGCTCAGAAATTATGAATTTGGGGCGGGGCACTTTGCAAGAACCTCCCTGGACATGCAAAGCACAGGCCTCTCTGCTTCCTACATTACATGCAACCACCAGGGATCTAGCTGGTAGGTGCTGGATAGGAAGGGTCCTAGCTGAGCGCCAACTGTTTCTTTGGTGCCTTCCAGACACCGTTGTGGTTCCACACAATCTCACACTCTGACTGATGTTGATGGTACCCTGTTTATAGCTAACAGGGCCGGCGATGCCCAGCCAGGGTGTGGCGAGAGTGATTTCTTCAGGCCAAGCAGCGAGGAAGCCACGGGTGTACTTCCACTGCGCCACTGTCACTGGCTCCCCAGACATCCCCTTAGAAGACCAAGCCATACTGCTTCCTCATCCAGAACAAGACCCTAGTTCTACCTCCCAGGCTTCCCCAAGATTCAGTGGGGACTGGAATGTCAGACTGAATCATTTTAGTGACGACGAACCGCGAGGGGCTATGGCTAAAAAGCACTGAACGAAATAAGTTAAACACATTCAGCCAGAGTTTTAGGACACCCCCTCCCCCATGAACTGCGGTCGGGCAGCGACCGACCATTGGCACTGATTGATCCTCATCGGCTACCTTGCCTACTGGATCCTGTGTGCTCCGCACCCCTGCCTCTCCCGGGCTCCCGCTGATTTCCGCCTTGCAGTGAAGGCGGTTTTGTTGGCGCATTTTGCACACCAACCCGGAGCGCAACCGGGAGGGGGGCCTCTGTGCTCTCCACCCCACCCCACCGGCTCCCCGAGTTTTCCGCACTTGAGTGGGTTTTCCTGGCTGATAACCGAAGACCTGCTCCGAGGGCACGCGGAGAACGGAGGTCCAGTAACCCCGCGGGGACGCTCCCTCCTCCCCTCCCCACCGGTGGCAGCTGCTGTCTTTCCACGGGAAGACCGGGGAGTGGGGGGAGACGCTGGAGTCTGCGGCGCCCCCGCCCCCTCGCTTTCTCTTTCTTTCTTTCTCTGCTCTGGGATCTTGCTGCGGGAGAGGTTTGGAGCGCAGCGAAAGACAGGAGCGCTGCCTTCCGCAGTGGCGCGAGGACAGGGCTGGGGCGCACCAGCGTGCGGTCTTTCCCGGCCCGAGGAAGGCGCGCCCCCACGCCTGCCACCCCACCTCAAGGGGTCCCCGAGAGCGCACCAGAGGCTGCAGCGCGCGGGACCAGCGGCAAGGCTCCCGCGCTTCGGGGACACCGCCTTCCCCGCGCTCGCACAACTCCGGGCCGGCTGCGCGCCGCTGGACGACTTTCTCGGAGTGAGGGGCGCTCCGCCCTGGGGCGAGCTCCGAGCCGCTTGGTCCCCGCTGCCCTGCGCGATGGGTAGCGCGCTGGTCGCTGCTCCCTGAGCGCGGGCGCCGCCGCCGCCGCCGTCCACTCTGCGCACTCAGAGACTCGTATTCGGGGGCGTCGGAGAGACCCGCGCCCGCACCATGAAGTCCGTGCTGTTCAGCCGCTTCTTCATCCTGCTGCCCTGGATTCTGATCGTCATCATCATGCTGGACGTGGACACGCGCAGGCCGGCGCCCCCGCTCACCCCGCGCCCCTATTCCTCTCCCTATGCCGGGGGACGCGGGGGCGCCCGAACCCCGCTCCGCAGGGGCACCCCGGGGCGCAACACGGAGCCGCGCAACGAGTCTCGACCTCCGCAGCCGCCGCCCGAGCCGCTGCTGCCCACCATCTATGCCATCACGCCCACCTACAGCCGCCCGGTGCAGAAGGCCGAGCTGACCCGCCTGGCCAACACGCTCCGCCAGGTGGCGCAGCTGCACTGGATCCTGGTGGAGGACGCGGCGGCGCGCAGCGAGCTGGTGAGCCGCCTCCTGGCGCGCGCCGGGCTGCCCAGCACGCACCTGCACGTGCCCACGCCGCGGCGCTACAAGCGCCCGGGGCTGCCGCGCGCCACCGAGCAGCGCAACGCGGGCCTCGCCTGGCTGCGCCAGCGGCACCGGCACGGGCGCGCGCAGCCCGGCGTGCTCTTCTTCGCCGACGACGACAACACTTACAGTCTGGAGCTCTTCCAGGAGGTAGCGGCGGGTGCCCGGGGGGCTGGGCAGGAGGGGACTCGGGCCGGTGGCCCGACGCCGCGTCCCCCGCGCTGCTGCCGCGCCCGGAGCTCGCCGTGCCCCCGCGCTGGCCATCGGTGGACAGGAGGCGGGAGCAGCGTTGCTGCCCGGGGAGGCAGCGCCGGCCGTGGGGCTTGGTCGTCCGGAGTGCGGGCGGGGAAGTAGCGCAGGTGATGTGCCGAGTGCCTCATGCTGCCCGCCCGCGCCCCGACGTGTGGCCATACGAGCAGCAAGGGCCAGGGCCGACACGGTGACTGCAGTTCGGCCTGGGGACGGGTTCACACAGTCCTGATAGGAAAGGGTCGTTAGCGAGCCGCAGGCTTCCGCGCAGGTTCTCCCGCGCCTTCCTGGTGCACTCAGCCCCTTTCCGCGCCCCTGAGCGCCCGTCGCTCCCGAGGGAGCCCTCGCCTGCCCACGGCGAGGTTGTCTTTCTGAAGCCCCCGAAGCGTCTGGCAGGACCCCCGCGCAGTACTGTCCTGAGGCCATCAGGGCTTGGCGAGCCGGCCAGGCTACGCTTCCTGAGGCTCTGTGACCTCCAGGAAGGCTGCAAGGCCAGCTGCAAGGCCACTGGCCCCGGTGAGAACAGGTGTGTGTTCTCTTGGCGGTGGGTTTGGGTGGGCGAAAGACACGGGTGTCCGGTCTTGTCAGTTTCAACTGTATCCGTGCTGATGCAGTTTGCGGATTTCTTTGCCACCCTGTGGGACTGTTCCACCACCTGGAATTCCTCAACATCCAGCCTGCTAGGGCATCCGCTGCCGCCTCCTCCCCAAGGAGACTGGACGTTCAGAAAGCACTGTGTGTACCTGCCTTTTTCTTCTCAATCTATTTAGTTTTCTTAACTTAAGGATAGAGTTACTCTGTACATCTGCTTTTTAGTATTTGCGTGGGTTTCAGAATCCATTTTTTAGTCACCCAAGTTACCTGCGGCCTTCATTTGTATTTATCCTCTCCATCAGAAAGAGAGCAGTAATGGTTCTTTATCTTTTCTCGGCCCATTCGCTGCCTGGGCCTTGCTTTCCATTTTTTCCCCCCCAGAAAAATAAGACTTTTAGTCTGTAATGTAGTCTTTACCATAATGCGATTAGAACTACCATCTAATTATTTCAAAGTTAGGCATTGTTTGAAAGACGGTTTCAGTGCTCATTACCCTCAAAGAACTGGCTTGTATTCTGAAACAGAGACACTCACATTTAATGTGCCATAATATTAAAACCAGAGGGTTTTTTTTCCTTGTCTAATATGGAAGTTGCCTTATTTGTAAAAACATGTGCTTGTTTAAATAACATACATTTTCATGAAGTAACGTTTGAGGAGAGTGGGTTATAAAGGAACATAATTGCTGTGATTCCAGCTTTTAGCCTAGTGGCAGGTGTTAGACGAGTGGAAAAGTTGGCACACACGGACAGTGAAACACTAAAACGACGCAACACAGTCCTCCTTTGATGCTTCCCCTGATGAAAAGAAGGCTTGATTATGGGATGTTAGGAAGTAACAGAAAAATACAGGAGGTTGTTTTCATTGGTCTGCGGGCGGAATAGAGGAGGTAAAAGGAAGAGGAGAGGGTAGGAAGAAAAAAATAGTCAAGAGGAAATTACGAAGAAAAAATCATGCAGAACTTTTCTCAGACAAGATTTTGGAACAGTGAAGTAATGATATAATCAAAATAAATTTATCTTAACGTGTGCTACTGTTTTTCTTTCATGGAGAGGTGCCAATACTGCGAAGTACATAGTAGGTTTATTGTTTTTAGGCATAATATGCATGCCACTTAGAATTCAAATTACCTGTCTTCTACACATCGAGACTCCCAGACGGACCACTAGGCAGTACCTTTCTGTATCACAGCTGCTTCCTTCGTTCCCCACCTGGAGTATTTTGAGCAAATGAGGTAGTAAATGTGCTGCTGTCCATTTAGTTTTTCTCTTTACCACTGGATGACAGGTACCACTGAACCTAATTAGTGGAATTTATACATCCCTATCTTGTATATTATTCCAGAATTTTAAGTCTGTTTTCCTTTAAATCTTTATAATGTCTTTAATAGGATGATCTACCATACATCTACTGTGGAGTTAATGGTTCTCTGTGGACAGCAGTCCAGCCGCTCTTGGAGAAAAGAAAGGCCCAGATAATGCATTCACAGACTGCCGCTCCTTGTAGGCAGGGATTGCTGCTATCTGGGGTGCTGTGGGGCTGAGGTATATATCCCAGCACTTTATACTGTGAATACTGATTAGTTTTTAAGTCACAGTACTTGAGGAAAGAATGTCCCAGGTCAGGCTTCATCTTTTATTCATACTGCCTGTAATTTCCATGGTTGATGTTAAAGTAGATAACAGGAAGAAAATGAACCAGGTACAAATTAGCGAAGTATTGGCTGCAGATGAAGGAAAGTAAGGGATAAAAGGTGTCCAAATTAAAGACCCAACAGGCAGTCTGTTCAGTTATTCCTTCCTGGTATCTAGAATAGTGCCGCTTCTCTCCCATACAGCTAGCTAATTGTCAGCTTCTCTCTTCAGCTGGGCTGTACTCCCGAGGAAGGAAATATTTACACTGAATAATCCTGTGTTAATTGCCAAATGCACTTGCAAATGAAGCCAGGTGTGAGCATAAATCATAGACCCCATCTCTGGAGAAGGAGCTGATGAGGATTTTGGGGGGTTTCAAGTACTCTGACAACTACCCTATTCTTCCTGTAGCATTGGTAGAATTTTGCACCGTGATCACTGGTAATCCTTGCCTGTGCAACCTATGGATCCGAATAAAGCTTATTTACAAAGAATTTAAGCTGCTTTAATAAGTCACAACTGCAAATAAATACAGTTGAGTTTAGCTAGTCATATTTTCGATAACACCATTGATCAGATTTCTGTTCTTCACTAGAAAACCTTCGAAGCTTTTCTGACTTTAAAGTGGCTGCTTTTGCAGGTGAAATTGGTTTCACCTTTGGAAATCAATTTAATTGAAAGGTTAAAAAAATACCACTTTTCAAGCAAGAAAAATACTTTGAAAAGTTTAATGAGATAAGACCAGAAGACCAGCCAAGTCAGATATTTAGGTTGCAGGTGGAATCAGTTAATGAGGCTGCATCCTGAAGATCTTTTTGGACAACAGTGCACAACAGAGGCCCCTTGTTTGAATTTTTTGCTGGGTGCCGTTAGGCTAGTTATGTGCTAAGCAGATGAAGGAGTTGAGCTTTAATTCTGTCTTGGTTTTTTGAAGCATTGCTATGCTTCCCCCTTTACATCCTTAATACGAACCAAATTAGAGCTGGCACCCCCACTCCCACCCCTAGTAATTCTATATTCCGAAGCATGAGGTTTACCTTTGTTTATCCTGATGTATAGTTTTTTAGCTTAGGGTAATTATCTTAACATGAAGAAATCTAGATTTTACACAGTGTGGCCCAGAAGTACCATCTGATATTGTCCCTTGTGTTTTAATTCTTCATTTCTGAAAGCTGCTAATAACTCATGCCATAAGTCTGATGAAATATATATGTGGATATAAAATGACAGCCAGTTTTTAAAGCTATAAATGTTAGAGCTATAGATTTTCTTTACTATCTCTGTGTATCACTTGAATCATGCTCATTTTGGTAGTTTTCTATGGAGAACAGCAGTTCTGACTTGGATTTTGATTTTCTGATCGCCCAGAAATAACAATTTGAGTTTAGAACACATTCTGCACGCTCTCTCTTCCCATTGTCTTTTTCCATTATTTTTTTTCCCTCAACCTACTTTTCCTCAAGTATTTCATGAATAGACATGAAGACATGTCCAGGTTATCACTGCATGCGATGGCTGCTGTGTGTTCTACACAGTTAGGCTGATGTTTGCTGCGACTTAGAAATGATAGTGGGTGGCTCCATTTTTTCCTGTCTGCTCCACTTGGCCTCTGAATTACAAGCTTGTAAATTTTGTCTTGTGTGAACAGTGATTGAATAGTAATTGCTTTTATTTTATTTTAGTGATTGCTTTTAAAGCACACTCCAAAAGCAAACAGAAGCAGCAAAGTCAGTGGTCTTATTTGTTAACTATCTCAAGTGATGTTCAGGTAACATGATTTTTTTTTTATTTGCACAGATTCAATAATGTTCAGATATGTCTATCCAGATCTTTGGACTCTGGCAGGTATTTGCTCAGTCTGTGCAGTTAGTATGTTATTGCTGCTGAAACTGGAAAATACAAGTTTTACATGGTTCTCAAATTCTGCCCCCAAAATACAAGTAAAATTATTATATCAGTCTGTAGGTAGATTGGTGGATTTAGAATAGAGTTCCAGTTTGCAGAAACTGGTAATTTTTCATTCATGCCTGTAGGTTTTTTCTTTTAAAGAGAATAAAACAAAACAGAATAAAGCAAATCAGAACAGAACAGTGCAAGCAACACAGGACTTCAAGACAGTAAGAAATCAACAATGACTACTATAATGTCTTTTGTTTTCTTCAAAATAACTGTCCATACCATCACACACAATAAAATAAAAAAAATGAAACAGAGCAAAGCCAATCAAAAGAATAAAAGCATTACAGAACTTCAAAACAAGGCAGTAGGAAATGAATAATGGCTATGTAATGTCTCTTATTTTCTGCAGAATAGCTGTCCATACTATCACACATAATGAAATAAAATAAAACCAATCAAAACAAAAGAATAAAAGCATTGTAGGACTACAGAACAACAGGAAATCAACAATGGTTACCATAGTACATCCCATCATCTTTAAAATAGCTGCACATACCATCAGACACAGTAAAATCTAACAAAACAACCCAGAATAAAACCAAACCTATTATGAAAGCGATACAAGAATTCAAAGCAAGATAATAGGAAATTAACAGTGGTTATCACGTTCCCTTTTTAGGTGTTCCCTCCCCTATCACTGTCATATTTGTGCTTTTTGGGTCCCACTAATTCCTTCAGTTTTTTTTGCTAGGGAGATAATTCAGTGTTGACTCA